AGGGGAAAATATTACAAATACAGTTAATAACAAGATGTGTGTTTGTGTGTGTGTGTGTGTGTGTGTGTTAAATAAGAACATGTGTTTGTAAAGGTGTAACAGAGCAAGATTAGGAGATGTGTTTGTTTGCATTTGTTATGTTAAAGTGAATAAGAAGGTGGTCTTGGCTGACCTTAAACTCACAGAGGTCTGGCTGCCTCTGCCTTCCACGTCCTTTTGTTACACAAGTCTTGTGCAGATGGGAACAACTACTATGTGTTTGTCATTGCTATAGTCATACCACGTCCAGAAGACACAGTTTCAGAGCAATTCTTTCCATCTTCCAGCTCTTACAATCTTTCCAGCTCGCTTCATTGATATCCCCTGATCCAGCTGCCTCCTAAACAGTTATGCTTATGCATATTGACTATTGCTGTTGTCAGAAAAATGTCCTTTGAAACAGGGCAATAGTTAACACACTCACAACTCAGAAATATGCAGATTATGCCGTGCTTGGGTCTAAATTGGACATCCACATTACTCCCTATAAAGCTTCAGAAATATATTTAAGCAGAGCTGTAATGTGACCACATTTGTGTTTTTAAAAATATAATTGAGAGCCGGGCGTTGGTGGCGCACGCCTTTAATCCCAGCACTCGGGAGGCAGAGGCAGGCGGATCTCTGTGAGTTCGAGACCAGCCTGGTCTACAGAGCGAGTTCCAGGACAGCCTCCAAAGCCACAGAGAAACCCTGTCTCGAAAAACCAAAAAAAATATATATATGTATATATATAATTGAAAAAATTGGGCAAGGCAGGTTGAATTTGGGAGAAACTAAAGATGTGGAAATGAATTGAAAGGACAAGTTGTAATTCAGGTGGTTAGGATTAATCAGAAAGTTAAAAAACAACAACAAAAAAGCAGTATGTTGCAATATAGGGGGAAAAAGGCTTCAGATACAAATACAAAGGCTTCAGAAAAGAGCATCTATGAATGACTTACCAATTCAAATGCGTGGTAATACCTTGTTTAACAAATAAATCTTGCCTGAAGATCAGGGTGCAAAGGTAGCTGTAGTCACAGAGGCCAGGCAGTGGTGGCACACACCTTAAATTCCAGAACTCTGGAGACATATGTAGATGGACCTGTCTGTGTTCAAGGCCTCCTTGGGATATATGAGAGTGAATCAGTTTAAAAGAGAGACAGAGCTCACACCTTTGATTCCAGTACAAGGGTACATGGGATCCCAAGCATTTAAATAATATGTTGCGGGGCAGTGGTGGCATAAGCCTTTAATCCCAGCACTTAGGAGGCAGAGGCAGGCGGATTTCAGTGAGTTTGAGGCCAGCCTGGTCTACGAAGGTAGTTCCAGGCCAGTCAAGGCTGCATAGAGAAACCCTGTCTTGAAAACAAACAAACAAACAAAAAAAGATTTGGGGAGAAAAGTTGACTTTTGTTTTTAGTAGCCTAAGAAAAAATGATTCACTACTTGGTTTAACAATAGATTTGAAAATCAGTAGAGAGTTTAGAGCTAGGTATCTGATTTGCAAGTCAATGACATTGACATTAATCAAGCAGGACACTGTATTCACACATGAGACTGGAATATTAGTGAAGGAGTCTCCTTGGAGGCTTCTGAGTAGAAGACTATGGAATAACTGTGATATGAGGTGATGTTGAAACTAATATTACATCTACACCACTAACCCTAAAATTTGCTTTTGAATCCTGCCTCATTTATTAAGCAAGAAGTAAATCAAGGTAAGGAAAACTAAGCTGACTACAAATTATTTAGAAGATTTTGACTTTAAGCAAGATGGTCCCAAAAACTCTCCCAAAAGGAACTCCACTCTCACTCTGTTCCCCAAAATATAACACAATTACTTTTTGCTCTACTTGATTTTAAATATGTTTTAGTTTTTATGTGTGTGTGCCTACATTAGTTTATTATGTAGTAAGAGCCCAAAGAAGGCAAGGCCACCAGATCTCCTGCCGTTGGAGTTACAGTTAGTGATGAATCTTCTGAGATAGCCACTCCAAACTAAGTCTGGGTCTTCAGTAAGAGCAGAAGGTGCTCTTGCCTCCTGATCCATCTTTTCAACTTCAATAAATTGTTTTAAAACAGTAAGCTTGCACTATGACTTGTTATAGCAGCCATAGAAAACAAACACACATGAGAGAGAGAGAGAAAGTGAGACAGAGAGAGACAGAGACTGCGAGGGAGACAGAGACAGAGAGAGAGACAGAGATGGAGAGACACACAGAGATACATACAGTGAGAATATGAGAATATGCCAACTTTGTGGTTCTTAAATACAAATATTGGGTTGTGTGTATCTTCTTTTTTTAAAAAAGATTTATTTACTTTATGTTCATGTGTGGGTGTCTTTATGTGTGTAGGTGCCTGGTGGCAGTGGAGGCCAGAAGAGGGTATCAGATCCCCTGCAACTAGAATTATAGGCAGTCATAAACCATCATGAGGCTTCTGAGAATTGAAGCGCGGTCCTAGGCATGAGCAGAGAGTGCTCATCACCTCTGAGACATCCCTCCAGGCAAGTGTGCATTTTGTTTATTTTTGTCTGTCTAGTATTTTTCTCTTTTCCTATAAACAGCATCTCAGGGTTGGAGAGAGATGGCTCAGTGATTTAGAACACTGAATATTTTTCTGACCCAGGTGGCATTTCCAGCCCCCAGATGGCAGGTCACAGCTGTCTGTCACTCCAGTTTCAGGATATCAGGAGCTTTCTTATCGCCTCTGTTGGCACTGCATGCATGGACATGCATAGACATTTGTGCAGGCAAAACAGTCATACACATAAAATAAAAATTAAAAATAAAAACAAAACAAACACCCCTAAACAAAACTCAGTGTTCTATCATTTTTCAGACCTGGGGGTGAGAGCCAGTCTGGAAGCATTTCTTTTTATCTTGTATTTTTATTTTAAATTTTCTTCCTTACTTTTCCTATGGGTGTGTGTGTGTGTGTGTGTGTGTGTGTGTGTGTGTGTGTGTGTATGTAGGGTCCCATTTACATATTATCTCTTATCTATACATTTACTGCCCAGAATCAGTTATGATAATCTACTCAATCAAACTCTTTAGTTGGTGTGTTAAAAACCTGAACTGAGGAAAGAGAAACATCTTCTATCTGTCCCAACTTGAGAGCTTGAACTCAGTATTGGTCAGAGGCTGTGATTCTAAGCCTGTAGTATGTGACTTTGGGAGGTTCTGAAAGAGTGACCCTGTCTGAGAGAGGAAAGATTGAGAGCCTGGAATGGAATTTCAAACATTCTGCTTTCTGGTTTTATTTATTCTCATGGCTAACAACAGACTTACTCTTTCACAATTTGGGTTACACAATAACTTTGTCATTTTGCTTAAGCTATTTAAATTTAGTATTTTTACTTCCACCAAAGTAACTATTAAGGGAAAAAAAGAAGAACAAGCCAGCAATCAAATTAAAAATGAACTCTCCCACCTATCTACCTCTATTACATGTGTAAAAATCACCTTTTCTGATCCACTGTGTTTCTAAAGCGCCTTCTTTGCAGTGAGTGTTTTACTGTGGAAATAATAGGCTAAGGTTACATTTTCACTCACTCAGATAGTCATTCTTCAAATCTGCCAGCATGCCTTCAGTCAATAAGCACTTCCTACAATCCCTATAAGCTTTTCTTTTCTTTTTTTTTTTTACAAATGCAAAGTAGAAGCAAACTCAGGAAAGTCTACTTTGTAAAATACACAGATAAAAGAAGTATAAAACATAAAGCTAATGAGAGGAATTTTGCTATATTTAGATCTTTAGTGACAATGACCAGACTGCCCCATAAAACGTTCTAGTCACAACTGAAGTATTTATTGGGAAAGGCCTACTAGTGTGGTCCTAATTCCATCATTGACTAAAGTAAAAAAGGGGGTGGGGACGAATTAACTTGGAACAAATCACTTCAAGTCCACACCCAATACACACTGGGTTCACTGAGGTGTGTTTATTTTAATAGCTGATCTGAAAGCATGTGAGATGCAATGCCACAGCTGACCAGAGTCTAAACAGAAAAGCCCAGAACTTAAAACTAAGCATGCATGCAGCCTAGAATAATAATTGCGTTAGGCTCCTTGAATTGCTAACAACCAGTAGGCTTCTCTCATCATGACAGGAAAGTCTACACAACAACATGGCCTTGTATCCCATGTCTAAGAGGTGTTTTTAGAACCCTAGTGTTCAAACTATAAAGGAAACACCTATAAACCATATAAAAATAGGTCTTATTTGACAAGTTATTCGGATTCATTTCCCAAGGCATTCGGATGGATTTTAACCAACATAATTATTCAGAGCAGGGCACTGTGGCACAGACCGGTAACACCAGCACTTGGGAGGCTAGACAAGTTACTTAAGAGGTAGAGGCCAGTCTGAGCTATATGCAGAGTAGGTAAACAGGGCCTCAAAGCAAAGCCTTGCCTCAAAAATAAAATTTAAAAAATCCGTTTTAAAGAGAATGCAGATTGTTAGCCTCAAGAGTTGTTCATGAGTAGTGCAAGTTTGACCCCAGGGAAAGGGCAATTCCCTGAGCTGTAACACCACCCAAAGGTTGGTTGGCTAGTTAGTCACTCGTCCCATACTGAGCTCACATACATATCTTCTCAGGAGATATGTAGCTGAGGAATTTCCATTCCACTAACTTGAAGAGGGCCAAGGAAACTGTGGAATGAGAATTAACAAAGGTAAAAGAAGTAATGGGGTGGTGAGACTGACAGTGTGATTTGAGAGAGAGATCGGCTCCTCCAACAACTGTTTGGTCCTGTTCCAAGCAAGGGTTGCTCGCGGGTGAATATGGGAACACACAGAGGGGCCAATGGCAGTTTTTCTGTCGTGGTTACAGGAATCTAGAGTGAAAGGTTCCAGCTGGATAGTCTACTGAGCAAGGTTGGTGGAAGCCACCCAGGCTCCACTCTTCCCTTTCCCGCCCTGCCTGGCCCCGCCCCTTGCTTCCCACTCCTCCTGGCCCCTCCCCTTCTTCCTTAACCCTGTTGGAGTCCTCCGCACGGCTGCCTACGGCGGTTCGGCGGTTCGCAGCAGTTGCTGGCTCGGTTCTACGGTCCTGGTCCGGCGGTAGCGGGAAGGCGCAGGCGCCGCTTGCGGCTCTCCTAGAGTGTAATAGCGGAGCGGGACTCTCGGTGAGTGTGGCTGCTTTACGGGACTCCTCCGAGAGAACATGGTAGCTGCCCCTGAGGGGCCAGGGTGTGTATGCAAGACTTTGACCCGGTTACGGGAAACTCGTGCAGCTGTGTGGGTGGTGGCGCTGCCCGAGGTTTCCTGGCTCCCGCCGCGTGGGCAGAGGCGTGAGCGGTGGCGGGACTCAGCAAGGTGTGTGGGAGACACTGAATTAGAAGAAGGAAAGAAGGAAATGGAGTAGCTGGAAGTCCTCACTTGGGCTTGGCCGAGCCGGGAGGTTTGCTTGAGGGCCCTTGCTTGATGGTGGCCCAGCTTCAAGTTCAGTCTCCCTCCCTGCTTGGTGGCCCCGAGCGATGTTCCAGCTTACTCTCTAGCCCTGGGCTGCTTTCTCGGAACGCAGAGTTGTCAGGAACGTTTCCAAGTGCGGCGGAGAGGGTTTGGGAGAGGTGGGCTATCGGCCTGGGCTGTTGCAATGGAGGGTGTGGCGCTCGTTTGACTTTCCTTTCCTCTGGAATGTGTCCCTCTTCTGATGCATTGTGCCTGAACATTTTTAACAAAGGCTATAACTGTTTTGTTGGCAGTGGCGGGTGACAGCGGGTGACGCGCGAGTGCGCGCGCACACACATACACACACACTCACACTCACACGCACGCACACACGTGTATGTGGTGTGTGTATGTGCACGCGCGCGCGCGTGCCTGTGCCTGAGAAGGCAGTCACGTTGCGGCCCTAGGGGGTGGTGAAATCTATGAGGGCCTGGACTTGGAGGAATGGAGAAACTAGCAACTTTCCTGTGGAGGCATTTTTCTTTTTCCTGTCTGTTGATTTTGAGTAAGAACATCCTCCATAGGAATGTGACTGCATATTGGTGTGTGTGTTCTTGCTCTGGCTGCAGCCATTTTGTGTGTGGGAGTGGGTGTGGGATTGTGTTATTAATATACATTTTAAAGAGTTCCAATGAGAGAAATATGTAACTAATGGAATTTGAGAAGAAATAAGTGAATGTGAATGAAAGTGAGAAGAGATGTCGTGGCAAAGCTTAGAGCTAGACGAATCCCTTTTGATAGGTCACAGTATAAGGCCAGACTTTGAAAACTATGAAGGTGTACACATCAGTAACTGAAATTTTAGCTAAAGTAGTGTTTCATTGTTTCAACAAAGAGTATATACTTAGGGGTATGGTGCTGCCAGATACTTAGGCCGACTCACTTTAGAAACTTTAAAAATGGTGTTAAGAATATAAAACATTAGGGAAAGTATTGTGACTTTGGATAAAGGCCTGTATGCTTTCATTTTTATTTTTTATGAACTTTTATGAAAGATGGTATATGTGGTCCCAAGCACAGATGTTTATATTTTAACTCATTAGTCTTAACTTAATACAACATAATAAACTTGGCTTCTTCCTCCTCTACCTCTTTTACTTGATTGTGAATCCTGTTTTATAAACATTTACTTTCAGATCTGAAATATGTTTAAAGAGAATTTCTTCATGTTTTCTAGTTATTTTATTTATTCATTTGTTTACTCCAATTATTCAAAGATATTTGGTGGTGATGTTATTAAACTTGTGTGGGGAATGTTACGAATGCCTTTCGCCTTTTCCAAGAGCCCAGTGAACTCCTATTCATCCTTTCAGACTCATCCTTATTAACTTATTGCAAAAATTTGCCAACTCTCCTAGAAATAATCATGCTTTATCTGTTTTATAACACTAGCCTTACTTTCTCTCTTGCTACACAAATAGCTACATTGCATGTGGCGAGTGCCCAATAAACTTATAGTTGCATGCTATTAATTGTTATTAGAAAGATAAATCATCCTATACGGGGTTCGTAGGGTAATAGAGGAAATTCTAAAGTTTTAATTAATGTTTAAGCAACATTTTTTGAGTATGGATAAGGAGTGAGAACATAGATACATTCTCATGTGTTAGTGATAATTTATCCACATAAAAGAGGTATAAAAAGTCTGTAGGCAAAAGGGAAAATGAGAATCATAAAAGCATACACTTTAAGAGAGACCTAAGCTAGTGACTAGTCAGAGTATTCATTGGAATATTTTATTTGTCATTTGAGAAAGACATGAATAAGGTGCTACTTGAATTTATGAAATACCACAAATGAACACAGCTCACCAGGTACTATGTAGAAATTGTTAACTAACACATAAATAAAGAAAACTGCAACCTACATTATATTGTACTCTTGAGTATTAAGGTGGTTTGAGCCTTTAGCTAATGAACATTTTGTATACTGTATCCTTACGAAGCTTGGTCTGACTGTTTATGCTATCTTGTCTTTGACAACTCTCTTAACTCCAACAGTATTACTGACCTTCCAGTTACCTCTGCACAGTCTCAACAGTCCTGTCCCCAACTTTCACCTCCTGAATGGATTTACTCATTGCTAAGAGTATCTCAAGCAAATACTGGCATTATAAAAGAGTGAATTTATTCTTTTGTTTAAAAATGACTCAGGATTTGACAACTTGATTGATCCTGAGTCTATGCCTGAAAAGTAGAGAACCTGCCCTACTCATTAGTAACCCGTTTTTCTTTCTTTCTTTAACTTCTACCCTATCCAACTAAATGTAAAGTTGTTTTTTCCATGTGACTTCTAAAATAATCACCCTGCCAAAACAATGCTTCAAGTATTTGATATTTATGAATAAAGTTTGAGATGCAGAAAGGCTGAGTGCTCAATGAATATTTTTATTTAAAACTTCTACATATTTTCTGATTCATGTGCCCATTGTTGAAAGAAATACCAAACCACTTTGCTTATTTTATACTTTTCTCCTTTGAATTTTTATCATTCAGACTTCTTCCATGTGTTTCTGGTGTTTTCCCGTGTTTTTGTAGATAAATAACAGAGTGTAAAAAGGACCCAACCAGGGGAAGATACTTGTATTTAATAACCAAAGAGGCTTTATTGTTTTCTTTTATATTTTTTGGTTTATGTCAGGTACAGAGGATTGACTTAATTGTATTCTTTAGTTGGTGGAATATTATCATTCTTAGGACTAGACAGACATTGCAGGTATTTGGAAAAATGGTTTTTAATTTGACATATACATCAGACTATGCTGTTGGGAAGTTCTTTCAACTAACATGCTTCTATTTAATGACTTTCCTTCATATTAACACACCAAATTAGAAATGGAAAGTGTAGAAACTTAAAAAATTAAAAAAAGAAACTCTGGGAGATTTTTGAGGTCCACTTTGTTTAAAAGAATACTTTGAGTGATGGAAGTATATAAATTGTTGATGAAAGAAATTAAGACAAACATTGCAGTTTGAAGATTTTAAGGGTTCAATACAGGAGACAGTGGGATAAGGGACACTCAGAAAAGAGAAGAGAATGAATTAAAACATAAGTTTAAAGGCAGAGAAGAATGAAGCTGAGAGTATTCTCTTTGCATATTTTATTAAGTGATGAATACTATTTCTCAGTGAATCGATTTGAGATTCTTTTTTTAATATCCAGGTAGAATTTGCAGGTGTATCTAGGAATGAATCAAATCATTGTAAGTATAGAGGTTATTAACTTTTTAATTAATAAGTTCTATTTTATAGGAAAGTTTTAGGTTAACAGGGAAATTAAATAGGAAAGAGAGTTCTCATATTCCTCCTGTATTTCCTGCACTAGGATAAAGTGTACCACAGTGGTACCATTGCTTCAACTGATAAATTTACACTGACACATCATTATCACCTAAGGTTTATTGTTTACATAGGCCTTTCTCTTTGGGTTGAACATTCTATAGGTTTGGACAAATTATAATGACTTGCATTCACCATTGCCATATCATGCAAATACTTTGACTGCCCTACAAATCCTCTTTGCTTCATGTGTGTAGCAGCCTTTCTTGTACCTCTAGCCTCCAAATCATGACACAGAGATTTATTACTAATTGTGAATGCTTGGCCTTAGCTTAGGCTTGTTTCTAGCTAACTTTTTTTCTTTAACATAAATTAAGCAATATCTATTAATTCATGCACTGCCCTAAAGGTCATTTACCTCATCTTTGTACTGTCCAACCTACTTTCCTGCTTTTGTGGCATCTAGCTGGCTCTGTCCACCAGCTCTGCCTATCCCTCTTCTGCCTATCTATTGGCCGTTCATCTTTTTATTATACCAATAAGGTGCCTTAGGCTGACAAGGTGAAACAGCAACACAACTTTACATAGTTAAACAAATGCAGAATAAACAGGCAACACACCTCTACATAGTTAAACAAATGCAACATATCTTTACATAGTTAAACAAATACTGTGTTCCACACCACATTATTTTAATCACTTATTCTCTCTAACATCTAGTAACTATTGATCCTTTGACTATTTACATACTTTCACCTTGTGCAAAACACTGTATACTTGGGATCATACAATATCCAGGTCCCCACCCCCATTACTTTTATTTAGTAATGTGCATTTAAATCTCCTGAATGTCTTCCCATGGTTTGATCCCTTATTTCTCTTAAGTGCTGGGTAATGAACACCTCACCTAGCTATGTCACAGTTTATCTATTTACCTCCTAAGAAAACATCTTTGTCACTTCTAAGTTTTAGCAACTATAAATAAAGCTATTATGAACATCGATATTCTATAACCCCCTCTACTCTCTCCACAGCATGTCATCCTGACTCCTTTGAGTAAATACCAAGGAGTATGAGTGCTGTATTTTATGTTAAGAATAAGTTTGGTTTTACTAGAATCTGACAACATACACAATGAGTGTACTGTTTTTTTTTCAGTTGCATTGGTAGTTAATGACTGACCCACTCTGCATTCTTACCAGCATTTGGTAGTGTAAATCTTCTTTCTTTTGGCTTTTTTAATAGGTTTTTTTTGGTTTTATGAGACAGGGTTTCTCTGTATTGTTTTGGAGGCTGTCGGTCCAGCCCGGCCTTGAACTCACAGAGATCCGCCTGCCTCTGCCTCCCGAGTGCTGGGATTAAAGGCGTGTGCCACCACCGCCCAGCTTTTTTAATAG